TAGGTAGAAGTTTCCCCTATCCGATGATGGTGTTGGTTTGTGTGGGTGGCCTTTGCTTTGTGAGTGAAGGGCTTTGGAACGGTTTGTTTACAAATGCTGATGGGCCCTTTTCTATTGTTGATCCAGAAATCACTTCGGCCTATCGGATGAAGATAAAAAGTGATTCGGTCGGAGCGCTTCTTTTGTTTTTGGGAATAATGGGTGCAAACCTTCATATCACGCGTTCTCATTGACTTCGTTCCGTAGCTTATAAACTAAAGTATCGTACCAAACGCACAATTTACCTGTTAACTCTGAAGTCAAGTATTTATTTGAAGTTTTCTGCTCGATAGGCCCAAAATGGGCGATTAAGCCGAAGTACTTATCTACCCTTTCTGAAAAAAAAACTAACCGTATTCATAATGCAGTCTTCAGTAAAGTTGTTACTCATTGTAAGAACTACAAGTTTTGAAAATCTGAATCAAATCGAGAATAAGGAAACTTTTTTATGATCGATAGAGTGTAGGAGTGTCATTTTTCATGAATTTTATCCAAAATCCCCATACAAAATTCAAACTAAAAGCGCCAGCTCATCATACAACCACAGACAAACAGACGTAACTCTTCATTGTGTATCTTCATTCACGCATTTAACGGTTGATTTGAATATTATCGGTTCCGCGAACTACTCGCCGCAGCGCTGACATCGGATCATTTTGACGTTTCTATACATTCTATAGAACTTTTATGCAATATTGTTTACGAGTTAGCGAGCAAGCTTGTTTTCCGCGAGAAGCCCGAGAGTTGTCGTTACTTAGGTCCTATGTTTTGAGATACTATGTTTTCAAGAACAGCTTTTCAAAGAGTTACGTCTGTTTGTCTGTGATACAACCAAATGAGCTAAAACTTTTTGGGAATGGTTTTCTCACCTAAAGGCACAAATCTAGAGGTTGACCCGTGAAAAATTAGAACTTTTATTTTTGTGGGCCAGTCTATTGGAGATCCTCAGAACTTGATTAACCTGAGGTTTTGGAAAAAAATATTAAGAAAAAGTAGTGAGCCAAGTTGAAATCGTTAGTTTCCACGGGTTGACTATACCATAGAGGTACTAGAGCTGAGCCAAAAAGTTGAGCACGTTTCTTCGGGACCTTCTGGTCTTAGAGTTATCTCTATGGTATAGTTGTCGGTTCGGTTTTGTTGATGCAAGCAAAATCGCACCGTGTTCACTAGTTCGCTGCACACGGTGCGGTTCTGGTTTTCGAGAACCGTATTTCGTGTTCACAAAGATGATGTTCTGAATTCAAGAACAGATCCGGTGCTATTGTAGTGTATGTGCGTGGTGCGCATTATTCAAAATTTCCAGTAATTAACTGCCATAATTAAACATACTTTGTATTTGATGAATTAATTTATGCAATGACAAATCGAAATGGCGGTTTTTGAATACAGAAGAACTGAGAATTCAAATGAAGTATTATAAAATGTGGGTATTTCCAGAATCGGGATGACGTAAAGAGACAGAAAATGATGACCGACGCCATCTAGAAATTCAATTTCAAGGTGGCGTCAGGCATCGATTTGCGGGCTCGATACGCCGTCCCGATTCTGAAAATACCCATATTTAAGGGTATTTGACTATTTCTCAGTTTTTTTTTATAACCGGAAGCCACCATCTTGGATTTCAAAATGGCATCGGCTATCGATTTCCTGTCTCTAGACGGCATCCCGATTTCAAAAATAGTAATATTGATGGGTATTTGACAGTATTTCTTAGTTTTCCTGCAAACAAAAGTCGCCATCTTGGATTTTAAGATGGCGTTGTACATGGATTTACAATCTCTACACTGAACAAACTGTACCTTCAATTTTCAAGCTGCTATGAACACATGAAAATACGAGCTCCATCCAATTTCGTAGGTATCTATAGCATATATAGTTTTATACAATAAAAGGTGTTCGAAAATCAAGTGAATTCCATAAACCCATCGTATGAATTGTGTTGACGCAAAATATGTCAAAAATTCATAAGACGATCCTAGGTCAGTGCAAATTACAACAACAACAACGAATATGGCGCAACCAGTTGTGTGACAGCACTAGACTTCGTAAATCTGTAAATTGTCGAATCAAAACATTAATTTATGTATTGTAAACTATTGTTTTGCATTTGCAGATTAGCTTCTGCTGCTTCCGGATCTACATTGTACATCGCTGCACCGGCTAACCGAGTAGACCCAATTACTTGATAATCGAACGCCAACGGAACGAAAAGTTCTTAGGATCCAACGACTCAGCTCAAAGCTGCATCGTCTGATGTACATCGATTGCATCAGGAGCAAACTCTATATAGTTTCGATTGAAATTGTAAGTAAACTTAATAAAATACTAATTGAAATACGAGTCAATATAAACTAAGAAATTAAAAATAATCTCAAAACTAAATGACGTACAAAAAGTTAGGCCTATTCTGCGCGGCGTGTGAGGTGAGGTGACACGCTCTCACTTGTGAAGTGACAATTGTCACCTCGGGTGAGGTGACTCTCCGTGCAAATCAAATGGAGAGTCACCTCACCCGAGGTGACAATTGTCACTTCACCATCACTTCACTGTCACTTCACCTCACACGCCGCGCAGAATAACCCTGAGTAATTATTGAGTTCCATGATATCCCGTGATATCCATAATTTGTTTGGATTCAAATTCATAGTTGTATACGAGAAAAACCATACGATGGCTGTATGCATCAATTTGACAGTGCTCCATAGTCCTATCGCATGGAATTCAACATAAAATCTTGTCGCAATAAAATCATGCGATATTACCATAGAGGTAACTCTAAGACCACTGGGTCCCGAAGAAAATCATTATTATTTTTGGCTCACTCAGTACCAGAACAACGGTCCCAAGCAGTCCCAAGCTATTTCACTCACCCCTGCATGTTCAGCATGAATCCACACACCCCTGATGTTATCTGTCAAACTTTCATAGCGAATCAAAACAAACATAGTGTAGTAATAGAATTTCAACTAGAATAGGATACGTTAATCGTTTGCTTGGGACCAATAGGCTACTAAAGTGGTGAGCCAATTTAAAATCGTTAGTTTCGTATTGATTGTTGATATTACTATGAAATTTGATGGAATAATAGTCTCAGTGTATACATAACCCCGATTCCGGAAATATCCACATAGAAGGGTATTTGACAGTATTTCATAGTTTTTATTAAGATAGCTTTGGACATATATTTCTGGTCTCTATACGTCATCCCGATTCCGATTCCGAAAATACCCATATTGAAGGTTATTTGACAGTATATTCCAGTTTTCTACAACTGGAAGCCACCATATTGGATTTTAAAATGGCGTCAGCCATCGACTGCCGGTCTCTATACGGGTACAAAGCACGACCGCATGGTTGACGTGGACTACGTTAAGCTGTTTAGTGCATATTTCTAGATTTTTTTTATTTGGAAAAACGGGTCGAACGAAAACGAGAATATCGTTGATTGATTAAACACTATAGTCGCTATATTCATAGTCTGGCGGATAGAATTTCGATCTATCGAAAAAGCGAAACCAATTCAATATATTGTAGACCAACAATTGAAAAGGTACTATCAACTTTAAAAAACAAAACGTTGATTATTCTTTCCTCGCCAATCGAACGCAAATTACCGGCATCATCGGATTGGGGAAGCTTTCCTCAACCCAAAGATGGTGTTAGTTTGCGTAGGCGAGCCTTGAGTCACGAGAAAAGGGTTTCCGAAGTTTTTTTTTCACAATAGCTGATGTGCTCTGTTGTTGGTAATGATTTGCTCGATTGGTTCCGCTATTTGACAGCTCAATTGGCTCCCGAGATTCTATCCGCCAGACTATGAATATAGTGACTATAGATGCCTCCGGTAAAATGTGTAACGGAAAATTGGCAATGTTTGAAAAATCATTGCTCAACAATTTAATGTATCGATAGATTTTAAATCTATTATAATAGAATAAATCTTCAAAGTATGTAGTTTCAAATGGTATGGAATGTAATTTGTCAATAAATTGCTGAGCTAACATTATGTTTGCCGTTACACATTTCATCGGAGACATCGTGTTCGAAGTATTAAAATACATAGAAGTATAAGTGACTGACTTTTCTCAAATCAAATAAAAAGGTGCTTAGTATCGAGGGGGACGACTCTATCTACGATGCAGAAAAGATTGTGTTTTGCTGTGGCAAGCTGCACGCACGCTGAGTAGATAGAAGGATGTCGATTTTGATTTCCTACAAAAAGATAAAGCGCGATGTAAGTAGATGCGAGAAATGAAAGATGATTTTTCGAAGATTGATTTTTTGAGCATCTAGAATTGAGATTTAGATGTGTCGCCCCCCTCGCTTAGTATAACATTAATTGAAAAATAGGGTGAATCAGTTATTCAATTTCAAAATAAGAGCAAAAGCTCGTATACAGACTCTCACCCTGTTAAATGTTTTGGCGACAGCAGCGCTCTTTTAAAACTTTTCAGGTTCAAGCAGATTGACACGCAACCAAGTGGTGCTCGATTATGACATCTAGGTTAGGAAAAACGTTTATTTCATGAAAACAGTGACAAAATGATCAGTCTTTATTTGAACATTTTTCAGAGGAAAAAATGGAAGAGTATTTTTATTTTAACAGGTTCGTACAGTTATTTTCTATCGGTTGGTGTATTTGGATTCTAATTCCATCTATAAATGACAAAGTTATAAGCGTTCAAAACCTATCACCTTTTCGTGACGGTCACAATTTTAGAATTTCGATTTACCCCCGGTACCTTCCCGTAAGACAGTCTGCGTCAAAATAGTGTAAAGAGTATTTAATGGGCGCAGTTCAGTTCGGATGCAATTTATTTACAATCGATGCTAATCACCCACTGAGCTGATTCTATAGGATCAAGTATGTGAAAGTGTCGTTTTTGTAACTTACGTGGTTTCTCAAACAAGCAACTCAATGATTGATTTTTGAAGGAATTTCTTTCACAGCAACTAACCTCGTATTTAAATAATTCCTAAAATATTATTGGTTAGTTTATTTCCGTTCTTACGTTTATTATTCATGCCATCTTCTATTTTTCACTTGAATATCTTTATTCTCTTAAAGTTTTACCATTTACGTGCCAACTTCGAACTTCGAAGCCGGCTTTATAGTTTCTCTTTTCGTAATTGGAAAACACTAAGAGCTTACATAAATGCTTTCCATTTAATTACGTTTTTGATATTTATTCACGCTCGAGAATCTTTTGGACACATGTTCATTCTTCCCAGTCTAACACGATAATAAAATGAGAACATTAGACAATTGAAAACAATGATTACAAGTGAGACAGACTAACGCATCACAACGTTACTTTTCCATAAAGCGACAAGATAATACTGAATTGTTTTCTCTAACAGGATTTGTCGCTCGACGCGGAATGATCCACCGGGGGTTGGCTTGGCAAACGAAAACAAATCGAATTAACAATAATAATTGTTTGGCAGTCTATCCGTTGGATGCGGTAGGTTTTTTTTTGTTTGTTTTGTTGTTGCGATTGTGATCGTGGAAGGAAATTGATGTTATAACGAAGAACACGGTCAAGACTAGACCTCCAAAGTAGCAAAGGTACTACACAGTTAGTCTCTAAAACTAATTTGAGGAACTATAATTTCTTGTTAGTCTTTTTCGGTTGTGTGCCTTCTGCTCCGTTCCGTGGGAAGACATATATAAATGCAGTAAGGTGTTTCTTTGCCCCCTTCCTGAAAAGTCATTCCGACGTGTCTTTGAAATTAGCTATCAATTTCCTCGTTTGCTGTATTATAGTGAATCCATTATCGTCATACAGTGCAAATTATTATTTTTTTATTTGGTACGAATAAGGTCAATTACAAAAAATGGTACTTTCAATAAAAAACGGCATCACAACTAGAAAGTTACGCATTGTGTTTCGTATATCACGTCAAGAACTAAAAGGTTAGCGTGAATGATTCTCTACGACTACAGTTTCGAGATTGTTGTCTTCTGTGTAAATGTATGGTAATAAATGTCAAATCTGCTCATTTAGTCAGATTTGAGTTGTTGTTTCTGCGTTGTTCACTTTTTCTCTTACAATCAAACGTCATTCCCTTTATATTGGACTTTGCAACGGAAATGGGATACAATCATTGTTGGAGCATTTGAAGAGTGTTAGTTTTGTTGTTTGTCCTGCTAATATAAATATTTATATAAAAATTTCTTAAGCATGTTAAACGTGGTCTTCTGCTCATGAGTGGAGCATTGATACGCACTTTTTTACCTACTTATCAACGGAAGGGGTCTACAATCTAGAAAGCAAGAGATTTACGACTCTGCTTGGACTGGAGGCGTCGGGGTGTCCGCGGAAACATCGATCACTTTCTTGGACTTGATTTCAGCCACAACATCGGACGAGGAGGCGGTGCTGCTATCGTTTTCAGTGCTGTTACCATTTGTGGTGGTGGTTGCCGGAGTGGCCTCTTCGACGTTGCTGGCGGATGTGTCGTTTTCTTTGTCACTGTCGGCCTTCTCGTCGTGGTCGCCATTTGTGGTTACTTTGGATTCTGCTTCACCATTCTCTGGAACACGTGATTCTTCTTTACCGTTGACCTTTTCAGACGTTCCATTTTCTTTCACTTCTGTCGGGCAGGTGGTGGTGGTGGTTGAGACTTCTTCTGATTCTGATTTCTTCGCTTCGGTAGCAGCAGATTCAGCGGGTGTTTTTTTGTCATTCTTAGTCTCTGACTGGCTGGTAGATGCAGAATCAACCTCCATCGCTTCAGTGGCTGGCGCCTCTACTTTTAATTTTACCTCCTCTTCCGGCTTTGTTTCTAATTTAGGGACATCAGATGACTCGGCTTCCATAGCAATATCTTCCTTGGCTTCAATGGCGACTTCTTCTACCGGTCCAGCCGTAGTCGCTTCTTCACCTTTGGTTTCTGGGACTTCTTCCGAGGTTTCCATTTTCTCCTCTGACTTTTCTTCGGTTTTCGTTTTGTCAACGGATTCGGTCGCAACAGGCTTGGCAGTTTCTGGTTCTACTTCGTCCACGTTCATCGTTTCTTCAGTTTTACCTTCTGAACTATTCGCTTTCTCAGTTGTCGTCTTCTTCTCTGCTTTGGTCTGCTCTTCTACTTTCGATCCTACAGTCGGTGTCGGTTTCTTTACTTCTGTCTCCATGGGCTCATCGACCGGTTTGGCGTCGTCTTTTTTAGCTTCCGGTTCTTCAGTTTTAGTTTCCGTCTCAGTTTCCTTCGTCTTGCTTTCTACTTTCTCCTTTGAAGCATCGTCAGTTTTAGCTTCTGGTTTCACTTCTTTGGCAGGAGCTTCATCCGTTTCCATCGTCTCAGCTTCCGCCACTGGTTGAACTTCCTTCTCGACGGGTTTCTCTTCTGCCTTCTCAACTGCAACTTTAGCAATCGCTTCCTTTACTTCTTCTTTCTTCGGCTCTTGAGTCTTCGTCTTTTCGACCGGTTTCTTTTCCTCCTCTTCTTTCTTCGGCTCTTCAGTCTTCTCCTTTCCGACCGGTTTCACTTCCTTCTCTTCTTTCTTCGGCTCTTCAGTCTTCTCTATTTCGACTGGTTTTGTTTCTTCCTCCTCTTTCTTCGGCTCTTCAGTCTTCTCCTTTTCCACCGGTTTCTTTTCCTCCTCCTTTTTCTTAGCCTCTTCAGTCTTCTCCTTCTCGGCCGGTTTCTTTTCCTCCTCTGCTTTCTTAGGCTCTTCAGTCTTCTCCGTCTCGACTAATTTCTTTTCCTCCTGTTCTTTCTTAGGCTCTTCAGTCTTCTCCTTTTCGGTCGATTTCTTATCCTCCGCTACGTTCTTAGGCTCTTCAGTCTTCTCCTTCTCGACTGATTTCTTTACCTCCTCTTCTTTCTTAGGCGCTTCACTCTTTTCCTTCTCGACTGATTTCTTTTCCACCTCTTCTTTCTCAGCTTCCTTCTTTTCGACTGACTTTTCCTCTTTCTTATCAGCAACGGGTTCCTTCACTTCTTCTTCCTTCTTAGGCTCTTCTTTACTTACCGCCTTCTTCTCTGCCGGCTTTTCCTCTGCCTTCTTATCAGAAACAGGTTCCTTAACCTCTTGTTGCATCGGTTCTTCAGGCTTCGCTTCTTCTTTATCGGGAACTGTTTCATTCGTCTTCTGAGCAACAACAGGTTCCTTCACCTTTTCTAATTTGAGTTCGTCAGTCTTCGTTTCCGTTTCCGGCTTTTCCTCCGTTGCAGGCTCAGCTGGTTGTTTTTCCTCGACCTTTTCTGTGCTCTTCGTTGAGGTAACTTCGGCTTCGGCAGTTTTTACAGGGGTTTCTACTGGTTTTTCGACTAAAATGGAAGGAGAAACAAGTATAAGTTAGTTCAACCACAGATTTTGATGGCTATCATACTAAAAATCGAACTTAAGATTTTGAATAATTAGAGCAGATCAGGACTGGTAGCGGTTGATGATCATGAATATAGTGCTGAATGATTTAGTGAAGTATTTCAACGGGACATTTTTTAAAGTGTACCTCCCCTAAGTACTTTGTTGAACTAAACATTCTGAGGTCCCAGGAAATTCTAGCTGAAAGAGACAACTTTTTGTTCGAGATTCTAAAAACCATTTCTTACGTAGTTATGAATACAGAAACATCTGTCTATAGTATACACTAGGTATTGGGGACTCGAACAGTTAAAGAATTTTTTTTGTGAATTCTTTGAAATCAATATATCTCTGCAAAAATCTTACAAAAACCCTAATGTTTCCTCTTTGCATACCATTTGAAAGTGAAACAATTTCATTTGGCATATTTAGAATTTTTGGCGGCCATATTAAACTTAGTCGCCAAATTGATTTTTTTTCGAAAAAGCATACCTCCCACTAATTTAAAAACTAAGAACGCCATTTGAAAGCTGAGACTTTTTCCTATTACAAATTCCTTTAAATTTTGCGGCTTCTGGATGTTATGATTACCCCCTCAGATTCAATCTTGTTCTTAAGGCCATGTACTGCTCTAAACTTCTTTTCAGAACCTAGAACATCTCCAGTAATAAGTAGTACTCATAAAATTTATGATCACAAATGGTTTAATTTACACAAAATTGAGGAATTTGGGTCATATGATAGATTTTTTTTTTTTTTTTGTTGGGTACATTACCACTGCGACCATTTATTTGATCTATTGTAGTATATTCCCCGGTTTTTTGTTAACCTTATTAGGGTGAAAAACTACTATTAGAAGTAACCATCAACGCCTAACTTTAGGTATATTCCCAGCAAGGAATTATGTGTCGTATGAAACGCACTACCTTACTAGGAGATGAACACCATATTTCAAAGGGCTGTAGTAGTCCCTTATCAAAGAACTTTTCCCTTCTGTTAAGAAGTGCTGCACAGTTGCACAATAAATGTTCGGAGGTTTCTGTTTCCTCGTTACAAAACCGACAAATATCATCATCAACTTTTTTAATTAGTCTTAGATGATATTTGGCTGGACAGTGCCCTGTAATTAGTCCTATGTAAGTACATAGGTCTTTCTTTGAGAGGCTAAGGAGTTTTTGGGTGTTTGATGCATTTGGCATCACAAACTTTCTTGATTGTCGGGCTGTGACAGTATTATTCCAATTACAATCTATCATCATCTTTTTCCAGTTCCTTAATTCCATCTTGATGGAGCTTGGAGAGACCCCACAGAATGGTTCAGGTCCTAGAAATTGTTTAGATGATCCTTGCCTGGCCAGTTCATCAGCCTTTTCATTACCTTCTACTCCACAGTGTCCTGGCACCCAGTAGAGATTTACTGCATTGTTATTAGACAACTGTTGAAGTAACTGAATGCATTCCCATACTAACTTGGAAGTACATGTAAATGATTTTAAAGCATTCAAAGCTGCTTGGCTATCAGAAAAGATGCATAGATTTGCATGTTTATATTTTCGCTTTAAACACACAATAGTGCATTCTAATATGGCTTGAATTTCAGCCTGAAAAACGGTTGGCCATCCACCCATGGAAACTGAAATATTAACACCAGGACCTGTCACACCAGCTCCCACTTTATCATTTTGTTTTGATCCATCAGTAAAGAATACAACTGATCCTGGGCGGATTTGTGGTCCTCCCGCACTCCAGAGAGAGCGGTCTGGTTGTACCACATTGAACAGTCGACTAAAATTGAATTTTGTCTCCATCCAATCATTCCTGACTGTAACTAAGGATTGATTCGAATTAGTTTTAATATATGTAAGTGTCCCTTAATGTTCCCTTCAAACAAGGTTTTAGTTCGCTTAAGTCTTAGTGCGCTCTTTTCAGCATCTAATTGCACAAATTGGTGTAGTGGAAGAAGATTTAGTATCGCATCTAAGGCTTTCGTAGGTGTGCTACGCATCGCACCTGTTGTAGATACCGTAGCCAGTCGTTGCAACTTTTCTAGTTTGTTTATTGCACACTTTTCCTTAGTTTTTGGTCACCATACTAATGAGGCATATGTAATTCTGGGTCGTATTATAGCCGTGTATATCCAATGGATCATTGCTGGCCTCAGTCCCCATTTATTTCCAAAGGTCCATAGTGCATTTGTTGCTTTACCTATGATTTGGTTTAAGTGTTGGTTCCAGTTAAGTTTATAATCAATTGTAACTCCTAGATATTTGACTTCAAGTGAAAGTTTCATTGATGTCCTTTCCATGTGAAGACCAGTTATTTTTATGTTTCTTCTTTTTGTGAAAGGGATAATATGTGTTTTTTGAGGATTTATGCTCAATCCTTCTGACTTGCACCAAGCAATGGTGTAATTTATGGCTTGTTGCATCCTGTTTGTAATAACATCGTCATATTTTCCCCGAACAATTATTACAATATCATCTGCAAACCCAATTATTTCAAAACCCTGTGATTCTAGATTTGTTAGTAAATCGTCTACTACTAATGACCACAGAAGTGGAGACAAAACACCCCCTTGTGGGCAACCTTTAACAGCTCTTACTGAAATATTTGAGCTACCGAGCTCAGCCGAAATTTCACGTTTTGAAAGCATTTCACTAATCCAGCTTATGATACGTATGTCAAAGCCACGCTTTGACATTGTCTTTGCCATAGAAGTGTGTGATGCGTTGTCAAACGCTCCCTCAATATCGAGAAATGTTGCAAGCAAAATTTCTTTTGCTTCAAACGATTTTTCTATTTTTGAAACAAGTGTGTGTAACGCTGTTATAGTTGATTTTCCTGATTGATAAGCAAATTGATGGCTGCTCAAAGGATTACTTTTCAAAAATTTTGATTTTATGTGTTGATCTATAAGCTTTTCCATGATTTTTAGCATTACGGATGATAAGCTTATTGGTCTAAACGATTTAGGTGAAGTTTTATCTTTCTTGTTAGCTTTCGGAATAAATACAACACGTACTTTTCGCCATGATGACGGTATATACCCAAGCATAAGACTTGCTTTAAACATATTAGTAAGAGATGAAGTAAGTATCCCATTACTTTTTTGAAGAAAGGCAGGAAATATTCCATCCCTGCCAGGAGATTTGAATGGTTCAAATGCATTTATGGCCCATTCTACCTTAGAACTAGTAAACATTTCATCAGCTATGTTTTTTTCATCATATGTAGATGTTAATAAACTAGCATTGGACCTATTTGTGATAGATATTTGAAGACGACAGTTGAGCATGAGTGAACGAATACAAACAGACTGTCGCGCACGAGAACAAAGCGAGTGTAGTAATAAATGTAAACCGTTTCATCACATGTCCAAAAAAAATTGAGTAATTCATCCTAAGCTTCGCTTAGAAAGCATTCACTGAACTTTCCTTCCATAATGCTTTTTAAAATTAATTCTCCATAAAATTTCCATGTAATTCACCTCAGAATTGTCTAAAAATTCTGCTCATAATTATCGTGGCGCTCTGTGTTCTAAATTCTTCTGTAAATTCACTTGGAATACTCCTTAGAATTCTTCACGTGCCCTTTATTCTCGGAATTCTCAAAAAAAAAATTCTCAAAATTCCATTGGAATTGTAACTTTAAAATTCGATCGTAAGATTTCCTTGGAACTCTCTTTGAAAATTATTTTTACATTGTGAGAGTGGAATTACGCCAGGATTTGTTGTTGTTTTCTACACATGATGCATTTCAAATGAAGCGGGTATGACTAGACACTACATAATTTGCACTGGTTCCAGCAACCCTTTTCACCATTGAAGTATATGGAACAACTACCGCAGGAATCGCAAAGTGGATCATGGAACAAATGTGCCATTTTCACACCGTCTAGAAAAAAATATTCTTAACTACTCATAGTAGAATAATTGATGTTTTTTGGCCCATGGCTATATTTTGAACATTGCATCACATAAAATTAATAAAATTTTAGATAATTGTGAAAGTTATATGAAAATAATTACACTACTTCCACTTTTGTTTTCAGTAAAATATTTCACTAGTGGTAAATAAACTGAAAATAATGCTGACCACGACAGTATCGGGAAACTTCGTTCGAATTTGGACTGGCACAGGATACTCGTCCCTGCCGATGTCAATGCAGCTGCCCAAACGCTCTCGCATATTTTGGCTTACGTCAAAAAGTTCCTAAACAAGGTAATCATCATCCTTGGCAAACAAGTGAACTCCGTATGTTTAAGTCTTCCAAAAGAGCCGCGCTAAGAAATTACACCAAGTAGCACACCCTACAACTCAAGGACCATTATGCGAGGATCAATCATGCGTATCAACGAACCAGTCGCCAATGTTATCGGTGTTATCAACGAGATGTTCAACGGAAGCTTCGATCTCACCCGAAAACATGTTGGAATTATGTGAATGAGCAACGAAAGGAGTCTGGCCTTCCATCGACTATGATACTTAACGACGACTTCATCCCCTCAGGACATTTGCCGTCTGTTCTCAACCAAGTTTACGAGTGTATTCTCGAATGTGGAAGGACGAGCACGTTTCTCTAGCAGACAGTAATGTTCCAATGTCTGGTCAATCTTTGGCAGCTATCAACATCGACCTCGCTACGATAACTAGGGCGACTTCGCAACTGAAGTCTTCATTTAAGCCTGGACCTGAACGGAGTTCCTTCCGCCTTTCTCAAGCAACACATCGATAGCTTGGTGGCTCCTCTCTGCCTTCTGTTCGAAATGTCCCTCTTCAGTGGGGTGTTTCCTTCATGCTGGAAATCAGCTGAGATGTTTCCAGTGCATAAGAAGGGGATGCAAAAGAAACATCGACAACTATCGCGGCATCACATCGTTGTGTGCCATATCTAAACTGTTCGAGTTGTTCGTTATGGAACCATTAGTCTCTCACTTCAAGCAGCACTTGAGCGAAGACCAGCATGGTTTCATGGCAGGGCGGTCGACTACTTCCCACCTTTCTGTTCTCACCTCGTACATTACGGAGAGTATGACAGACCATATGCAAACAGATGTCATCTACACTGCCGCTCTTCGCATGTCGGTCCTAAAGCAATTTTTATCAAAACTGAGTTTTACAATGCAAATGGTAGCTGATCACCCATATTTTCATAATACTGGATGAACTCATAAACTTTGTTCTGAAAAAGTTTGGAAAGACAGCCAAATTGGTTGTCTCATCACATAAGAAGCAATGGTACGAATCAAGCTTAAAATGCGATTTTCTCGGCTTGCTGATTTTTGCCATGGGACCGACATGCGAAGACCGGCAGACTGACCTATCAGCCGCCTTCGACAAGTTGAACCATCCTATAGCGATCGCCAAACTGGATAGGCTCGGTATAAACGGCAGGCTCCTAGGATGGTTCGCATCCTATCTATCTGATCGTCAGTTGGAAGTTGCAATCGACGACTGCCGATCTCCTCCGTTCCCTGCCACTTCGGGTATTCCGCAAGGTAGCCACCTCGGCCCGTTGATATTTCTTGTGTATTTCAACGACGTCAATTTCGTCCTCGACGGTCCACAACTGTCGTTCGCAGACGACATGAAAATCTATCTCCAAACGCGAGCCATCGCTGACTGCCGCCTTCTCCAACTCCAACTTTTGCTAATTGGTGCCAACTGAACCGCATGGTTGTAAATCCAACAAAATGTTCAGTAATCACGTTCTCACGGAAGAAACATTCAGTTATATCCTAGAAGGCGTTGACGTACATCGTGTGAATCACATTAAGGATCTGGGAGTCATCTTAGTTTGTTAACTCACATACAGCCAGCATATCTCGTGCGTGATCGACAAGGCATCCAGAACGCTCGGCTTCATTTTCAGGATAGCTAAAAGTTTCACGGACATCTACTGTTTGCAGTCGCTTTACTGCTCCCTCGTCCGGTTGGTGTTAGAATACTGCTGCCCTGTATGGAATCCCAATTACCAAAACAGTGTACAAAGAGTAGAGTCTATTCAACGACGATTCATCTGGTTTGCCCTTCGACGATTGCCTGCCTTTGGAAGGATCCTCATCGCCTTCCAAGCTAGTCGGTGCCAGTTAATTCACCTGGATCCTTTGTGGAGTCGAAGAGATACGACAAGGGCCCTGTTCGTGGCAGATATTCTACAGGGCAGAATCGATTGTCCTTCTATTCTACAACAAATCGACGTTAACGTTCAACCACGAGCACTCCGTAACAACGCAATGCTGAAGATACCTTTTCCTCGTACAAACTATCAATGAGCTACAAAGGGTTTTTAATCGTGTTGCTTCCTTATTTGATTTTCACTTGGCACGCGAGACGCTGCGTTAGAGATTCCGTGATACATTTTTAAGAATTCAGTGTCAACATTTCAAAGGGGCGTAATTGCTTTTGTAAACAATGGCTTTAGCCGTCGATTTCTCCCGAATAAAAGCTCACACATGAAAATTAATGAAACCAATAAGTAGAGAAATGTTTCCTCTACCAGCTAGCATTGTTAAGTTGGAGGGGTGAGCTTTAATTCGCGCGAAATCGACGGTTAAAGCCAATGTTTACAAAAGCAATTACGCCCCTTTGAAATGTTGACACTGAATTAGGAATTAAGTTGGACTTTACGGACCTTGCAGCTTGTTACTTCTTGACTATATTGTATTTCCTAGTATTGCTTAATCCATCATTAGAACTAAACCCAGTCAACTGATGTAGAACCAAATAAACAAATGTCTGAATACTCACGCATTTTCAATCGGTCCAAACTAAAAAAAGGTGGCATAATTGAACCCAACTTTTAAGAGTTATGTGGTTTTGCGTCAATTAAATCCGATTGAACCCGTTTCTTAGCTCGAAGAATCATTTTATGTGTTAAAATAGTGATCTGAGGCATGTTCGTCAATATCTAGAGAAAACATATTTTCGCCATGCCCGCTAACCAACTACACCGGAAAAAGTTTGCATGTAGCTTTCATTGGAAATGCACATGATTTCATCCATAATCAAAATTAATGGAATTCAGCTGAATTTCACATAACATTTATGCGATCTCATTAAATTTATGTGATCTTGCAAATTAATTTCATCGGCCTTATAATATTCATATGATTTTGTGGTGGGAATTGCTGCTATGTGATTACAGGAAAGCTATGTGAATTCCACATGGATTTCATCCATTAGATATGTGATAATTTTTTTATGATCTCTTTGATTACCATTCATATACTCCACCCTGAGCAGAGCAGCTACTGAGTCAATCACAGGTAATATTTAAAGATTCACTATATTAACTCAAAAATAAGATAAAATTATTTGCACATTGAGGTGGTCCTAAATATGTCCCAAACCTGGTCCAAAATATGTTTCAACAAGCGGCTTGAAGTAGAAAAGGTGGGCCAAAATAAAATAAAAAGCGTCATCATTATTTGTGATATTTGCTTATTTGTTTGTCAAATTGCATCGTACAACGATAAAAACATTTAACTGTTTGTGCTGATTTCACAGCTGATGAACTCATTTATTCTAACAAAATCATGTTTCGAGAAATTGTATAATTACGCCTATTCTGCGCGGCGTATGAGGTGAGGTGAGGTGACTCGCTGTCACTAGTGAAGTGACAATTGCCACATCGTGTGAGGTGACTCTCCATTTGATTTTCACGGAAACTCACCTCAACCGAGGTGACAATTGTCACTTTACTGTCACTTCACATCAGACGCTGCGCAGAATTGGCCTAAATCATTTAGGCCAATTCTGCGCAGCGTGTGATGTGAGGTGGCTAAATGACTTCCTAAAGTGGTCCAAAATACCTCCGTTACCCTATTTAAAATATAAAATATTATTAGCCGCAGATTTGTTGGTCAGATGATTGAAAAAGAAGCAAATATTGTTTTCCATATTTTGAAAATTGCTTAGTTGGATCATAATGTCTAGTAATTTTTCTCAAATAATGTATAATATTAGACAAAAGAAGGTGCTCCCGTATGTTCATTATGCCCCTATTTCTTTTTCGTCGCATTTCAAGCTTATTGCTTATAGCATATTAGCTTATTGCGTGCTCTTAACTTAGTGTTCTAGATGCACTTCCACAGCTATTAATTGAGAGCTGTCGATGCCTGTACCATTTTTGCGCGCTTCGCTATATAGCATTCCATGGTTAAGGAACATTCGGGGTAGTGTTTAGATCAATCCCCAGGGGAAACATGTCCAGGAATAACCAAGAACGAGCAGCAATCAAGAGAAGGCATTCTTTACGATGTAGCACAACCATATTAGAGGGAGAACTTTAGCAAGATTTCTAATTGAACAATGTAAAAGATCCAATCCACGGTTTCCTCTATGGATTACCTTGACCCTGCAGACACATTTCGGGTTGTTGATGATAAACGAAGGTTATCATCTAACACCCGCATCAGGCATATCCAAGAATGTTATTACAGACGAAGATAATTATTTAATACAGATTGAACCATTTGTTATCGCAAATTTTATGTATCAGAACAATACCATACCTGGTGTTGCATCCTTAGCTTTCGGTACGACCTCCTTCTCGCTAGATTCGGCAACCTTCTCTTCCGGAACCGGTTCCTTCTTCTCAACCGCACCACCATCCTCCTCGTCCACGTCCATCTTCTCTTCGTCGATCTTTGCCTTCTTAGCGGGTGGAGCTGTTTCATCCTTGGTCTTCTCTTCCTCTACCTTAGCGTCTTCAACCTTTTTCTCCTTTTCCTCTTCCTTAACGTCTTCAACCTTTTTCTTCTTTTCCTCTTCCTTTTTCTCCTGCACACCCGTTACTGTTTCCACCTTCTGTTTGGCATCCTCTTTTACTTCAGTCTTGCTGACTTCCTCCTCCTTCTTCGTATCCTTCTCCTTAGGAGATTCTTCAGTTTCAGTCTTATCGGTTACTTTCTCAGTTTTAGTAGTAGTTGACGCAGGTTGGACATCGGTCATCTCGGCATCAACGTCCATCGCTTCGCCAGCTGATTTACCGTTACATTCAGCAGCTGGTTCCGCCGCTGGTGCTTCTCCATTCTGCTTCGCAGCAGCATCATTGCTGCCATTCTTGTCAACTTTGACGACCTTTGGCGGAGGCTGTTCCGAAATTTGAGAAAAGAAAATGGTTAATATAAGAACGCAAACAAAATAGATACGTTAGAAAATATTTGATTAAAAATTAAAATTGAATTACAATACTTCTCACTTATCGTAAGATTACATGATAGATGGCGTTATAACCGACACATTGGGTTCATATCTTGGCTCTTCAAAGCTTCTCGAATTGACGATAGATGGTTTCGGTCTCTTTAGCTTAGCCAAGACAAAAACCACCCCCACAGAGTAGAGAAAAACAAGAAAAAAGAGAGCAATCTAGATGGAAGAGCGAGAGGATAGGATTGGGGAGAAACAGAGCGCTCAAAAAGGTGGGACTTGGGAACGGATTATTCGAAATGCAGTTCTCTAGATTATTATTTGCTTAAGTAGATAAATGATTATGGATCAGTTATTTGAAGCCACACAAATGTGTGGAAACACATTTGATACAACGATTACAATAATAACAAGGCGTGGCATTTTAGCTGTAATAACTTTGGCTAGAGCAAAGATTCTGATATCCCCCATCAACATACATAATCTTATGAGCTATTTTTTCCTTGCGGAGAGTTTCGAAGTAGTTAGTTAAAAGTTATCTAACAAAGTAATGTGTCAGCTTAAATATCCAGTCTTGTATTTTTGTAGTTCGAGTCTGTTGAGTTTGAATCGCATAAATTTCGGTCCATTGTAGACACTCACGTGCTTGAGTGCAGTAGTACAAACCGAGGGTGACAAAGAAAAGTCGTATCCAACGATCGAGATCGAACTAGCTCAAACTATTAGACCCTCATTTCACCACGGTCTGCATATTTCGAGCTAGTTGATGTATGTGGATCGATTGGATAGAGCCTGTGCAGTGGTAAACCTAGTCATATAACTTAAGATTGAATTTATACTTAATCAATAATAGCCTCCCCTGCCGACGACCGAATTCTTACAAACACCACACCGGTGCAAATCAATTTAGGTGTTCCATCAATATGTTTGTTTATGTAAGAAGATAACGGCGGTACAAGACCCGAAATAAAAGCAACATATGAAATTAATAGTGATAGCAACGAATGATAGCAATATACGAATGGCTACGAACATATAAACAATGTTACATTTTCAGTTCTGATATGCTTGATTTTCCGTTTACTACCTAATGTTATAAGATAAAGAACCAAAAAGTACATCGTTTGACAAAGCCTTTCTACGCAACATCAATGTGATGAGAAGTTCACAAATCGCAGAACGACGTGGGCGCATACACACATACACACACGAAAAAGAGACCGATAGTGCTAGAGACGTAGGAGATATCCACCGCAAATTTTGACAAACGACACCGAAAGAGGTTTCGTGCGCACAAGGAAGCAATAGTGAATACGAGTAGCAATAGAAGAACGAGGATTGGGCAACCGAAATTTTGAATAAACACGACCGATTGTATTGTTTTGTTTTACATTGTTTCCGATGCATCGATTGGGATGCTCTTTAGCTTCCTTCTATCTTGCATCATCATCATCTTAGAGGTTACTTTATTTATCGTCACAAGCAGAGCATCCTCAGTCGATCCATCGGAAGTTTGATCTTTTATTTTCTCTTTTCTCTTCATTGTTTTAAGTTATCCAGGAGTGAACAAATACTTTCAAAAGGCTTCCAAACACTCACTTCTTGGCCTTTACGATTTTCCAGAGCAGACATTACGAGAAGCTCAAGTAACATCAATCCGTCAAATCTGTGTAATACTAAGTACAATCAATTGCTGCATATTTGTGTAATCGGTTTTATTGTTATCCAGTGACAATACTTTTGTTTTATTTGTTTCTCTTCATTTCACACGTCTAATTGTAACATTAAATGTAGTTGTACTAGGTTGGGACATGGATCCCCTTAATTTCACTAAACGTTAATTTTGATCTCTAATAGGAATAATTCACTTTTGCTTTGATTCTGATACTGGACAGATATCGTACTGTTATACTCTTAAAATGATCGTTGTAAAAACGGTGTAGCAAGATTCGTTATCACAAAAATAAGCATGAAAAAAAAACTAAGCATAGTAATCAGGTGGATTCGATATTGACACTCAAAAACGAATATCAAATTCTTTCTCTGTGTGTTCTTCAGTCCAGTTCAATGTCAAATGTTGTTCAGCGTCTTATCTTCTATAGAGATGATTCATGTTGTATGGGGGATCTTACTCTGTTACTAAAAAAATCACTTTCTGATGACCGAGTTAATTGCGTCAAAACTTCCTTCAGATACCACTACCATCTACTGCAGTAAAATTACTAGTACCACATACATTATTCAAGTTAAGTGTGTGTTTGTCTATCTTTTCCTTTTTCTTGTGTATGATTACGATTTTGTAGGTGTGTAAAATGTGTGATAGAAAAATGGAAAGAAAAAAAAGTAAGAGAATTAACGCTTATTAGGATATACCTGAGCTTCGTCGTCTTGGGCAGTTTCGTCAATTTTGCGCTTGCTGGTTCCGTTCTCCGTTTCGGCTCCATTTTCGGGTTCAGTTGCCTTTTCCGATTCGGCCACTTTTTCCGACTCAGTAGCCTTTTCTGTTTCGGCTGCCTTTTCCGATTCGGGTTTTTCCTTTTCCTCAGTTTCGGTTCCGTTCTTCGATTCGGTCGATTTGACCGATTCGAGCGGGAGATCGGAGAAGGATGAGATAACGGTGAATTCCTTGCGGTCATCCTCGGACAGTTTGGCATTGCCGGGTCTGTCCAGGAGCACTACGTTCAAACCGGCTTCCTTTGCGGCTTTAGCCTCTGTTCGCAAAGAAGACAAAAATAGAAACAACCATTAGAACCACGTATTATGAAACAATCACTTAGCTCTACAGTTATAACAGATTTTGAAGGACCATTCAGTAGCTGAAACAAATCACCACGTAACTTACCGGCAACGACGTCGGTCAAGAAGAGAGCTTCTTCGCCGGTGACTTCGACTTTCTTCAGGATAGCATTATAGCTGTCCTTCTCCTGCTTGGCGCCGATCTTTGTGTCGTAATAACCGGACAGATACTTGACCAGATCGCCCTGCTCGCTGTGCTCGAACAGCATCTTCTGTGCATCGACGCTGCCACTCGAGTAGATGTAGACTTTGCGACCTCCTTCGTTCCACTGTTCCAAGGCCTTTTTGACATCCTCGTAGACACTATGGTTTGAATTTTTGAATTGATATTGGAATAGTGGGTATTATACACTGATATACACAAGCGTTGATGCATGAGATAATTTGCAGAGAAACATTCGGTACTTACTGTCCCTTGATGGAGCCATCTTTATAACCCTTGGCCCAAACCAGACCCTGCAGAGTTTTCAGCGCACCGGTCTTGCGGTCCAGTGACATTTGCCATTCGACGTTCTTGACAACGTCGGGTATGATATCTTCGGAGTCCTGGCGGAATCGAGAAAGAAAAATTACATGATTAGTTTTTGCTGAGCGGTGTGTGTTGTTTTTGCAACAACGTCATAACTCGGTCATTAATTTCCCTTCTTAAAATGATCAACACTAGGCAGTTCCAATTTCTGGTAAACTCGTAAAATTTAAGATGCGGTCAACACTCCCTAACCTGGTATTGAAGGGAGTTAGGGAGGATATTCAATTACGGAGATAATTTTTGGAAATATGAAATAATTTGTACCGTACAGCATCATACTCCGGACACATCTAAAAGTTGGTCATCAATGCCTAAAATACTTAACATAGCACGCACCTACATTGTATGCTGATTTTGTAAGTATCGTTATGAATCATTATTACACATTTGTATTAAGTTGGACGCACAATTAGCGTAATATGGATTTAATTAAAAATGAAATCAAGGATGAAATTTCAAAAGGACGTATCTGCTATTAGCTCAAACTTTATGGAGGTTCGCCTATCGTATTGTTAGAATGTGCAAAGCGTTATTTCCATCATCAGTTTATGACGATGGTGCGTGTGAGATGGGCAGGAACTCTGCTCAGTTTACTCTTCAAATGTTGGTTTTATTTAATTTTCATCAGAAATCTCTTGGAATTCTCATGTCATTATCCTATCGATCCCGAATTCTCCTTAAAGATCTCTTCCCAACTCTTTTGGAATTATGTTAAGAATGACCTAGGATTAAAATGTACTTCCTTTCTTCGCTTCAGAAATCCTTGGAGTTCATCTCAGAATTATCTTTGCATTTTGGTCAGAACTTCTTAAACTTTTTTTTTTGCAGAATTTTGTAGGAACCTTCTTTGGTATTAACATTTCAATTCCCTTTAAATTTTACTTAAAATTCCTTCTCAGGATTCCACATAAAGTTCTTTAAATTGTTAACCCTAAGAATTCAGCCATGTCCCAGAGCCATGCAAAATGTTCAGGACACATAGGTAATTATGATGTTTAAACTGGGATCTTGGATTTTTTATGAATCCCGGATTTTGATTTGGATTTTCTCAATCTTAATCGAAGATTTTTATTAGTCACATAGGGGAATTTACGTATTCTCGTCAATCTAAGCAGCGTCCGCACTTCTATTAGCATTTTCTCAGCGTCACGCACATATATGACGTGTCTGTTTGTTTACATTCATCTGCTGCTTGCTTCTCTATGCATTCCAATCGACAGAATTTTTCAAAACGTTTTGAAAGCGTTTTTACAACCCTCCAAACTTCTCAGGTGAGTGTGACTATTGTCGGCAGCCTCTTTTTCTTCGGCAACGTTCCCATTAGAACTGCGTGTTAACCAGCTGTTCTATTATCGGCAACTCGAAATCGACCCCATTTTGTAGTGCGTATGCTTCATTTGAAGAAAAATGTGGCATTACTGGATTGCTCGATCGTACAAATATAATCAGATTGAAGCTGACAAGCTAAACAATCGTTTGGATACATTCAGGGAAGTGGGTTGATGGGAAAACATAGTGAAATTAACGTTTAAATTTTGGTTGCCGAAAACAGTCAATGGGTTGTTACATTCTGGAAATGCTCTCGCAAACGTGGGGCTTTAGGTAGTGATGAAAACGTCGCTAGAACTATTCCACAGCCGCAGTCAGTTTATGAGCAACAGGAGGGACGCACATTTTTGCCTGTGGACTTGGAGACATACTTCAAGTCCCCGCGTACATCGTACGGGCTAGGCAAAAATGTGCGTCCATCTTGTAAACTGTCGCTTTAATGGCCCTTCGCTCATTTTCAACTTCTATTCAATTTTCATACTGCCGTACTCTAACGGAACTATCCACCTACCCTCTTCCAAAGATCATTCTCTAGCTAATAAATCATCACACTGAAGCTTCATGTTAGCATTTCCAACCAACTCAGTCAATGGGTGCCGAAGCCAACATTTACCCTATCTCGAAAAAAAAAATAATCTAAGACTGTAAACAAGTGTCAAGTCTGAGCATCTCGGAATTTTCATAAATCCCAAAATTTATAGTCCATTTATAGTACATACTGGTAAATAAATTTCTTGCTCCGAGGTCTCTATTTTTTTTTTAAATTTAGGCTCAATCTCATTTTCATTAAGTTCAAGATTTCTATTATATTTGTTTAATTCACACTCTTTTTGAATTCAGAGGAATATGGTTGGGAAAACTTTAAGTGAAATCTGAGCATTCCTTTCATGTTAGCTCTGTTAAAATCCAGATGAAAAGCAAGGTGTAACATTAGGGGAATTTCAAGGTAGTTCTGACTATATTCCCAAGGGAATCTTGAGTAGGATTCAAAGGTAATTACAATAGAGTTCTGTTTAAGGGATTTGTAAGGCAAACTACATCGTACAGTATGACCTCGGCTAATCCAGCTCCGACATCACGGTCTCTTATGGAGTTTTTGACGTAGGACTACGTCTGTGATTTCTATATGGGGGGACCACTTTGTGAAAACCGAAAATGGAATATGTAACAAATATGAAAGATTTTGAACGTTAAAAACTCAGTTGCCCCTGGACCTATTTCAATAATTTTATCACCAATCGATTAGAAATATTTCTATGAATTTGTTAAATTTAAGACTTTATCACTATTGAAAATTGCGTGAATGTGAAACTGTTGCTATGATAATTAAAATTATCACAGATTGTCTGCGAAAAGCGATTTCCCTAACACAGATTTCAAAGTTGAATTCCATCCGGTCTTACCAATGTCTTACGATGTTTATTCAATCACCGCGTGGTGAGTGGTGGTGTTCTCCAGTGCACAGCGAAAGGCTGCCTGCAAGCAGCGAACTGCAACCCACATGAGCATCCATAGAGGAGGAAGATGCCGCACCGCTATTGATCGGAATCAGTAGCTCTTCGTGAGTCACTGTGGGCCATCTATGTCAAGCGCGTCATACTGAAGAGTTTACTACTGTTTATAGAGAGAACCCCGCTCAAATTCCTATTCCTATACAAAACACAAGCTCTTGCGAAAGTTAACAAATAACATTTATTATATAAGACCACGTAGCCCTACGTCACCATTGCGTACAACCCTATCGGGCTGTCCCTTGTAGTTTTTTAGATGTTAGGTTGGTAAAATTGATTTGTATGGATTTGAAAGTCTGATTATCGGGTCAACCCCGCTAATCCGGCCATAAATTTGTTGGATTAGCGGGGGAAACTGTACTTATGAGTATAATTCCAAAAGAAGAAGAAGAAACTCAAGGGAATATTGGAAAGAATTCACGGACAATTTCGAGGAATTCTAATAAGTATTCCAAAGGAATTCTAAGGAAAGTTTCAAGGAAATTTCCAACAATGTTTTGAGGTAAACATCAAAGAAATACTTACGAGAGTTTCAAGGCTATTCCTGTAATAATTTTTAAATGTCAAACACGTCATGATTTTTTGTTGTTTTGCTAAGGTGTGACTTTAGAAATTTAAGTTAAATCAACGTTGTTTTCTTCTTTTCTATGACTAAAATAAGCACAGCTGTAAACATACTTAGATTATTTAACAGGAGACTGTATTTTTTTTACTGGATTTTTGAATTGCTGAAAAAGCCGGTAAAAATTAAAATTGCCGTTATCCGTAAGGAATCTAATATATCGACAAATTCAGTGCCGGCGCCGGTGGTGTAGTGGTAAGCGTGACTGCTTTCTAACACCCCGATGGGTCTGGGTTCAATCCCAGCCGAGGTCAGTGGGATTTTTCTGAGGCATAAAAATCTCTGGTTAGTCTTCCTTCGGAAGGGAAGTAAAGCCGTTGGTCCCGGCCCATGTGTGTTTGTGAATGGGGTGCGATATCCTACGCAGGTGTGGAAGCTGCCTTCCTGCACATTCGGTTGCCGTCAATGGATTGGCACTAGATTGCGGAACAGAGACCGACGTTAAATAAAGGAAAAGACAAATTCAGTGTCAACATTTCAAAGGGGCGTAATTGCTTATATAAACAACGATTTTAGCCGTCGATTTCTCGCAAATAAAAGGTCACCGCTTCAAATTAACAATGTTAGCTGGTAGAGGAAGCAAGTAATTAATTTTCATGAGCGAGCTTTTATTCACGAAAAATCGACCGCTAAATCCATTGTTTACAAATGCAATTACCCCCTTTTGAAATGTTGGGACTGAATTGTATGTTCTATAATTAAATGGGTTTAACAGAACTAAGTATGTATAAGTTCGGAATAAATTTTCTCATTTTTTGAATTTACCAAAAATTTTTAAACTTTTCCGCATTGTGCTGACTGGATTAGTGTGTAGATTTGTAGTATGGGAAAATCTACCTAATATTGCTGTTAGTAAAAGTGGACGAGCTACCAGTTACGCCAAACCGACGATCAAATGCATTGTTTATAAAAGCTGATAGGGGAATTTACGTATTCTCGGCAACCTAAGCAGCGACCTTCTTTCTATAGCCTTTTTCTCTAAGGAACGCACACATATGCAGTATTGGTTTGTTTACAATCTTTTGCTGCCAGCTGCTCTAACAATTTCAGTCGAAAGAATTGTCAAAAACTGTTTTGAAACGCTTTTACAAAGCTCCAATCTTCTCTAGTGAGAGCGAGTATTGTCGGCAACCAGTTTTTACTTCGGCAACCGTTCCATTTGAACTGCATGTAAATCTGCTGTTCTATTATCGGCAACTCGAAATCAGCTACATTTTGTAGTGCGTGTGTTTCATTTCAAGAAAACCTTGCTAGATTGCTTTTTCTCAGTGGTAAAAATATAGTCAAATTGAAGCTGAAAGCATAAAGAATCGTTTGCATGCATTCAGCGAAGTTTTTTCGTAAGAAAATCCAGTGAAAATAGTGTTTCAATTTGGGTTGCCGAAAATAGTCTGGCATGCCGAAGCCGTTATTTCTCCTACGTAACTTCGAAAAAGTAATCGAGGTTTCACGAAATTTCTCTAAAATATTCAGCCACTCAACTTAGGGCCAAGAATCCCAAAAATTGTCTACGTACTAATTTGCGTTCGATTGGCGAGGAAAGAACTAAATGCCCCTAATTTGGACTCATACATAAATTCAACAATCGACTAAATTTTCAATAGCGACCAAAAATATTCATTAGTACCGTCCCTAGATGACGCGTTCATCTAGATAAAATTGATATTTAATAGCAAATTTTTAGCGATGGACCAAATAAAAACAATAAAAACAATCTTAGATCAAAAGGCCAACATTAGAGCCATTTCCCCTATGTATTTTAAAATTTACTTCGACAAAAAAAGAGAATACAGTCAACTCTCACAACTATTAAAGTCGCTATATTTATATTTATGGTCTGGCGGATAGAATTTCGATTCATCAAGAAGCGGAACCAATTCATTATATTGGAGGCTAATATTTAAAAAGGTATCATACATTTTTATAAACAAAACCCACTGATGGTGTTGGTTTGCGTAGCTGAGCCTTGAGTCACGAGAAAACGGTTTTGTTCGTAAAAGCTGATATGCTCTTGTCTGTTGTTGATCGTGATATGCTCGATTGGTTTCGCTATTTGCCAGCTCAACCAACTGGTTCCCGAAATTCTATCCGCCAGACTATTAATATAGCGACTCTATCCACAACTCGATATCGAGGTGTAGTAAAAACCATAGAACCATAGTAAAAACGAATTTCGTGGCTTTGGCATTGGAACATATCAGTGCTAACATTTGAAAACGGCGCAAAAGCCATTTGTAAACAAATGGTTTGTGGGCCCTTTACTCGCTACCCGAAGAACGCCCACGCAAACCAACAGCATCGTCAGGAAGGGGAAAATTTCCCCTACCCGATGTTGCTGTTGTGTCGCGTGGGTGTACTTCAAGTAGTGAGTAAAGGGCCCACAAACCATTTGTTTACAAATGGCTTTTGTGCCGTTTTCAAATGTTAGCACTGATATGTAGTGAGGGAAGAACAATAATGTAATAAGACACTTTGAAACTACCGAAGCTAACACGACCACCGCAAAATACGCACTAATAACTAAAAAGTAAGTATTTTTTAGGGAAACTGGGACTACCCATTTATGAGTAATTAAAACTATAAAAATGAGTAGTAATTATTCATTTATGAGTAACAAATTACTCATAAATGGGTACAATGTTGGAGTCCCAGTTTCCATCGAAAATGCTTACTTTGTAAGTCAATATTGAGTCTTTTTATAGTCATTATTGGTTATTTTGCGGTTATCATGTAATGCACCGGAGATCAATTTATAGTCTAGTATGATTTATTGTTTTTGATGATTCCTATAAATGGAGTGGTAAAACGTGCGTAAATAAATCGTTAGTGCCCGTCCGATGATATCGTTCCAAAATTGAGTCGGTTTTCACTCAACATTGAAAAAAAAAACGTGGGCTACTCAAAAACTGAGTAAAATTTTCCTCTGAGTAAGATTCAACGTCGAACAGATTTTTGAGGAAAATTAAAAATAAAAGTTCTCACTTATGAGTAGGATATAGGGTATACGTCCCTAACCTCGGTCTAATATGCAGCCATCGATTACGTTTTTAATCATAACTCATCAATGAATTTACCTGCAAACGATATTCTACTGCTAAATGGTATGCTTAGATATGCTTATCATGTCGTTTGCTATCAGAAACCACGAAAAGTTGAAAAACTTACTTTTTTTAAGACAATAACTCACGAGGGAAATGTATGTAATATGGGTCTATTGTCCCCAAATTGGGTCTATTTATGGATGCAACTTCGTCCTATCTTGTTTGATCCTCAAAAAAACGCTCTTGGTAACGTTTTCTGATGTATTTTTTTTTATCACTATCACTGTTAACTTAATGCTCTTCATTCCTCAAAACATTTCTTAGAGAAAATTTTACGAAAACTACATTAAATCACTCAATTTAAAAATTAAAAATTAAAAATTTCGCTTATCGTCTTTTGACCGCAGAATATCTAAATCAGAACATTGTGATGTTCATTATACAGGTTTGGCAGAAAAAATCTCCCTTCCTGTTCGTTCCTTATCATCCAAATGCAAAACAACATTGTTGACGTTACTCTTATTGCTATATGCTGTCAAATGAATTTCATGGGCCATAGTTAGGAACATAGAAAAGAAATGTGTCCCTAAAGTTGGGTCCATGTTTTACTTGTGAAAACGTTGTTAAACAATTAAAATAAACATAAAATATTCAAACAGCAACTGTAAGTTTTACGTCTAGTGTGTATTATCAGGTAATTCCAATCAATAAATGCCATAATCAGGCCATTTGATGATCGTCAGTCAACCTTCCCATCTTAACCTTATAAGTCATGGCGGCTAAAAACTCCGAACATTGTGATATTCTCAACCAGTTTTATTACTTACGAGAGCTGAAAATGTATTGAAATGTTGTGATATAAATTGATTTGTGTGTGGTACACATTTATCAACCATCAGTGATCAATATTTTCCTTATTTTTTGTGTAATATTCCTTAATTAATTATTTATTTGCGTGATAGGCCGAATGAAAGGACTAGACCCACATTACATACCGTAACCCTACTTGTTTTTTTTTTTCTAATGAGTGAAAACCTACTCAATCTTGAGTCAATCTCATCGGCCGTGTTCAACATAGAATTAACCGCGTGCACAATCCACGACACAGTACACACCATACGACAAAGAACTTACCTCAGAAGGGATGGTCACAACACCTTCGACCTCGGCCTTCTTATCTTCGTCGGCTTGTTCGCGCAGCGCAGCAACCACCGTTTTCGTCGCATCCTCTTTCCAGTGAGTCTTGAGGTATTCCTCAACGTTCTTCAGCGCGTAAGGAAACAGAACATCCTGCAAAGGAGAACAACAATAAAGAAATGAACGTTTTAATTGCATGAAAAGACAAACTAGGTGTACAATATCAACAGGTGCAACTGCATTATTTATACAGTTTACATAATCTACCTTTTTCGGTAGGTATTTTACCATTCAGTATTGTTTGATGGTTCGTAAAGTAAAAATACGAATAGGCGCCATTCTGAAACCGGAAAAGCAACAGTCACAACCGACAACTGTAAACTTATTTACTTATTCGCTACCTTATCGCAACCCGCTCGAACTCCGATGTCGCCGTTTCCTCAATACCATCCCTCGTATTACGCATGCAAGAAAAATGCTCGTTGCTAGGTAAATATGTAAAGCATCACCGTTTTAAAGTTGGTCGCACATTCAACTGTAACGGTATTTAAAATGGAACTTTCAGCACTTGAATCAACAATATCAGTCTCTGCTCTCGGCGATGCGGTTGTGAGGTAGTCCGACCAGCCAGACGGAAAAAAGTGTGCTATACTTCTGGATTCCCGTTTCACTTCTTACGGCTGAACACTTTCGTGACCACTTTCTTTTCCGCATACTACACTCACCACCTTTCAGCGCTACAGCAATATAGCGGTTGAATGTAGGTTCGCATAGGAAAGAATAAATTAACTACTACTGTTACCGGCTGATACATGCGCCATGCCGGCCGGCGTTCTACTTTCAGACTCACGCGTATGCAGAACTCAAACATGTTGATTGTCTAATGCATGGTCATTGCAATCCTTCCGATTAGAGATAACAACAGGACACTAATATTTTTCAATGAATATTTTAAGCTCAAGCATCTTTATCAATATTACCACTTAGAAAGCATCTGTGCAGATTCAAACAAATATTTCAAGTGTCTTAACAGACTTTTTCATCACCACTTCTGCACTCATTTCTCGGTTTCGTACCGATGGAGACGCTTGCAAATTATGATTAAAATTATTCCCAAATTATATCTCTATCAATACAGAAAGAAGGACTGGGACACGACGACAATCGAAAGATTTCCATTTCGACCTGCTTTTTGCATTTGCAGTTGTGTTCTTTTTTTCCTCTGTCTGCTTTCCGTCTTTTACCGGCAGTTTCATCCATATATTAATTTAACGATTTTCGGAAGGGCAGATGTTCCTGGAATTGTGTATACATGAGGGGTTATATGAATGCAAAATTAACGGAAAAAGCAGCTTGGGGTGGTATCCTAGTCTTGAAGTGGTTGCCTAATGGAAAACATACGGATAACTAAAATCGTGCTTGACAATAATGGACGCAGGAAAGGAAAGCGGCTGTTTAATGGTTATATTCAATTAATTTTCCAGTAGTTCAAGATTTCAGCAAAGTGCGCTAAATGGCTAAAAGTGTCTTACGGTAGAGTGTGTTAATTTGAAAATTCCTGTATTAAAATCAATGCTTGACTTATGATTGATTGATGTTTAGTTTCAAGGGTAAAAATTTCATAATGGCGGTCTAGATTCAATTTATTTATTTTATATTAACTTAAATAGGGTTAACTGCCCCATTTCCGGCCTATTAAGCACAACCCGCACTTAGTCCTTCTTAATCTACCGCAGTTTAGCACCAAACGGAATGTTATTATTACTGATGGCTTCCAAATTTATTTACCTTTCTGTACGTACCGTAAGATTTGATAAAGAGAAACCAATCGTTGAGATATTGTCAAAAGTCTAACACTACTTCTTGACGCCAAACTCGACCTACGGATCCTAAGCTCGGCCTAACGCATTGAAACGCCAATGAATTCACTTCGGCCTATCGAATGAAGATAAAAATTGATTCGGTCGGAGCGCTTCTTTCGTTTTTGGGAATAATGGGTGCAAACCTTCATATCGCGCGTTCTCATTGACTTCATTCGGAAGTTTATTAACTAAAGTATCGTACCAAAAGCATAATTGACTTGTTAACTCTGAAATCATGGATTTATTTGAAGTTTTCTGCTCGATAGGCCCAAAATGGGTGATTAGGCCGAAGTAGTTCTCTACCCTACTTTTTTGAGGTCGAAAATTTTATGTTTTCAGATACACTGGAGTCGCTTTTTACGCGGGTGATACGTGCCGCGTAAATTCCGAAATCCGCGTAAAAAGCGACTCCAGTGTATTAGAATTTCTCCGAACAGGAGATTAAGTAGCCTACGGATAAAAATCGATTGTATGACATTCCCCTGAAAGCCATTCCCCAGAATGCCATTTCCCAGAATGAACCATTACCCAGAAAAGATGATGAAATTAGTAATTTTCACTTTTCTTTTTACTATTGATAATACACTATGTTTACTTTTATGGAACTATGTATTTATCAATTCCAAACCATTTTTTAGCTCTTTATAAAATGACAACCTTCAAGTTTTCGAGTACTTCGTTCATCATTTAATAAGTCAAAGGGTCTATTATGCAATCCAATTCAACCAGTCGGAAACTGATAGACCTTATCGAAGAATTGTTCGACCTGAGTTGAAGAATTTCTCGTGATGGATTAAAAAATCGGTGCATGGAACGTTGAACTACCGATTACAAATTTGTAACATTATTCCACTCGTTATTATCCCAAATGGTCATTACCCCGAATCCCTTGCGAAAAGCTATTGATTATATATTTTCCTTATATATTAAAAGAAGGGAATATTCCCTTCTTTATCATACATCCAAAGAATTAATTATTTTCTCTTTTATATATTCAAAGAAAGGAATATTCCCTTCTTTATCGTTTATCTAAAGAATTAATTATTTCCTTTTCTTATATTTTCTAAGAAGGGAATATTCCCTTCTTTATCATATATTTCAAGCATAACTTTTCAAAAGGACGTATGTAACATTGGATAGGAAATTAGAAACATTGGATAGCAATGTCTATATGAGATTATTAAATGCTATTTTTTTAAATCTATGTGTGCTATTAGTTGAATAAATTGATTGCGTTTAAGGGGAGGTTTACTTGGATTTTTTCAAAAAAAATTGATTTTTTTTGCATAAAATGAAAGCTACAAGTGGGTAGAATATGTGGCCAAAAGGATTTTACGATCCGAAACATATTTAGCGAGTTATGGCGCTTTGAGTGAACCTTTGTCATGCGCGCTGAGGGACGCTACAAAAACTTAAAACGCGTTTTTCTCGAAACCATATTTTTTTATAACAACTTAGAGCATAGGGCTTGAACAAATGATCCGATTTACAATCGGAAAATTGCGCTTTGAAGGATACTATTTTTTGTATGGCTTATAAAAAAAATTGTTAGTTACTATTTTTTAAGCAAGGTCAAAGTGAGAAAAAAGGGGTAAAAAAGCACTAAATTTTCAAATGTCCATAATTTGGTCAATTTTTGTCGGATTTCGTTCTAGTTAGGTATAAGCCATAGGGAATATTATCAACTTTAACCACAATAAAAAAAAATTTCATTTCAGTTCACCACCAGAGGGTGTGCACTCGAAGTTCTGCAGCAAAACCTGACTGACACTCCTCCACGCGAGCCGCCATTTTGAGTCGTCATTTTGTTTTTTTACCTTCAAAAAATTTCCAAGTATTCAGGAATAGTGGACAAATATAATTATCGAAACCGGAAGTTCGTATGTCTTTTCATTCTCCTGAGAAAAAATTCCAAAGTTCAACTGTTTTTCAGCCAAATCCAAGTAATCCTCCCCGCAAACACGGACAATACTTTTGATAAAACAAAATCATACACCTTTTATTTGTGTACTACTCACATACACCCTGATTGATTCGTCGGTATCACACCTTGATTGTTACATACACCCTGCATGATTCGTCTATTTGACAGGAGGGTTCAAAGAATTAATGATTTCCTTTTCTTAAATTTTCAAAGAATACAATATTCCCTTCTTTATCATATATTTAACGAATTAATCATGATTAAAAAAAGGAATATTCCCATCTTTATCGTTTATGAAAAGAATTAATCATTTCCTTTTCTTATATTTTCAAAAAAAGGAAAACGCCTTGATCCATTAAGAAGATTTTTTTATATACTCGGAGTGACTATGATAAACAAAAATAGTCAATCTAATACATGGCATACTTTTCTGGGGAATGGTACATTTTGGGGAATGGTTTTATTGGGAATAGTCCGTTCTGGGGAATGGCTTTCGGGGGAATGTTATACAATCATAAAAATCTCCCTAATACAGACTAAAACAATAAAACAATTAAAAATTAAAAAAACTTTCTTTTGAATTTTGATTGCTGCTCATTCGAGGTAATGTAGCACAATCGAAAGCAAGACTCATGTTCAAAATAAGGGGAAACATCCATTATTATTATTTTTATTAGTAGCTGCTCTTTCTTATTCCGTTGAAGTGTCCAGGTGGTAAAATATTAATTTATCGGTATAACTAAATCTTTTCCACATTTATGCGAAATCAATGGGGTAAAGCTTGGAATGGGCGATTTTGAATCGAAAATCGATTTTTTTAGTCGATTACTCATCACTTCGAAATATTAGACATCTGACCTCAAAGAGAAAACTGACATCTTTCTTGTATTGTTCTGTTGATTAAAATTTATTGATGTAATCGGTGAGCAATGAATCGATTATTTAAAATAAAACTTGCCCAGTATTAGGTAGAGCCCAAAATCTGAGTGAAGATAGACATCCGCGAAAATTCCGAAATCCACGTAAAACCAGAATGTATCCACCTATGATGAGGTCTGACCCTTCTTGATCCTGACATTACCCCGAAGCCACTACCCCGAACGCCATAAGCCGAAATAGTACTCTATCTCGAACTCCATTTCCAAAAGCTGTTTATTTTTTTTACTAGTTGTCATGTCTGCATTGTTAGATCCGGAACCATGTTGAATATTGCTACCAGCTGATATGGATGAAACATGTGATAGTCAATTCGCCTAATCATTTTCCTTGGGACAGTTAAGAATCTCCTTCCAATAACTTGATCAGAAAACCAATGAATGGGGATCCCTTATCCACGAAATGTTAGCAACATTTTTGCTAAATGTTGA